AGTCACAGAAGTTTGGCCTTCAGTTATTTATTTGGAATACTGTGGGTTTTTGCTGTATCGCACTGAGCCTTCCGTTAAAAAGGTTGAAGTAGTAGATTGTGATTTTATTGCGGTTCCACTGATGTTAGCTGTTACACCTAGCCGCATACTTCATACTGTCACAGATCTAGAGCGCTCTGTTGTTATTCCACAGAGCGCTTCAAGCTCAGTGATCTGAAAGACAATGATCTTTGAAAACCAAATTCCTCACGAGAAACTTATGAGCACGTACATCATATGAAAGCCAGTACGGTAGCCGTTCACGAATATACACTATACCCTGAGCCATGCTCGTTTTCCATCCCATCACCTAAACACATCTCTTTTTTAGTACAATTTCTAAATCATTTTAGGATATATTGTACTTGTGGGTAGATTTGTCATAATTTACCCGTTTATGACAAATTCACACAATGATCAAATGGAAAATCGGTGTAAAGATGGCTAAGGTAAGTCCATAGGATATATTCCACTTAAAGGATGAATTTCTCAGAATTTACCCCGTTTTTCTAGAATTTACTGATCAAATGGAAAATCGGTGTAAAGTTGGTTACGGTAAGTCCGTAGGATTTATTCCACCTAAAGAATCAATTTCACAGAATTTACCCCTTTTGAAACTGTCAAACTTCGAGCGAGGAAATCTTTACGATCTTCTTACACTTTTGCATTGCTTCTCTCCCCTAGATGGGAAGTGACACGCAAAAAACACGGTCACAACGCACTTTGGTTGGAAAAATAAAACCACATTCTGTTGATTACTAGGTGTGAGGACATAGCTACAACGGAAGACACGACTGCAACGCTACAGGAGGTTTGGATCGGCTAGAAAACAGGAGGGAGGTTTGGGTCGGGTAGAAATCAGCGAGGTTTGAGCCAGGTCGTGCTCCCTACTACCAATTCCTTGATCAGTTTTTTTCGACTCGACTCAAACATTCTGTCATTCGCTCCGTCGATATCATCGTGCTTTGAATTTTACTTCCACACATGGTTTTCTAACTGAACACCTGGAACGAGCTAGTTTCTTGTTTACAGACAGAAAAACTTACCATAGAGGACGTCTACAGAATTAGCCGAGCTGGTGTCACCATGAGTTTTGTATTTTTCAATATATTCCCTTCTTATCACGTCCATTAAGGAAAGAACTGCCATGAAAACCTGAGTAGAACGTAACACATTACAAGAGAGTACCAGCATGTAATTCCTCTATGAACTAATGCTGTTGCTTTACCATTAAAATTCTCCTGCTATGAACTTGCAGCTTATTTGATGTTTGACTCCAGACAAAGATTTGCACTTTGTAACATTCAAAAACTCTTCCAAAATATTTCTGAGATCCATTCTTATAACACCTAATCTTCTGTCTCTGACAAATTTTATAAACAAAGCTCTTGATTGTCAACTCAACCGCTGGCACTCTGTCCCCAGAATTGGAGAGAATAGCACTCGAGTTACCTGTGGGCTGGAAACTTTGAATCTGTCTCGAAAGTAATACATAAAATGCATTTATGTATGTAGGTATGTATGAGAAAAGAAATCAAACACAAAAACACTAATGAGCGTGATAAACTAATGACCACGGTGACGATGATGATGGAGCAGATAGTGTAATTCACTCCGTAAGCAAGTCGCACAGTTAGTCAGTCAGACAGTCAGTCATTCTGCCATCACAGTATCGATAAAAATTATCCAACTCACCTGAAAGATCGTTAAAGCGCTAACCAATGTTGTTGAAATGAATTGCGTCGAAAATTTGAAATCTAAACGTGAAATTCAGATAAAGTTAAAACCAATTTTTTCAACAAACGACTGGGTGTCATTTAAATCATCTCCTTATTCAAATGGTTCCTGTTCGTGGCTCAAAGACATGGCGCGAACAAAACATCTTTACCTTTCCTTGGTTTGTAGAAACGACGAAGCAGCCTTGAAAACCAGTTTAATCCAACCATATTCCCCCTGTTTGAAGCGACACAAAAACAAATTATAACACCGATGTGGAGTAATTAGAAAATCATGATCATCTGAATGAGCTTATGCAAAAACGAAAGAAATATGTCACGTGATTCATTCATGACCAATGTATATATCAATGGCCGCTCTTTTCTTTACGTACACGTTCTTTTCAACCGAACATGACAGCCTTACACGTGGGCCAAAGGAATCCATTGGAGCGCTTCCCAGACCAATCACAAAGAGTAATGGGTAAATTAAAAGTTTCAAGTACAAATCTAAAAGCGTTTAGTCAAAAGTTCTGCAGTCTGACTGGCCTCGCTAATCCTTCACTATTTAACAACAAGAGTGCAAGATTTCTATTTGAGCAACAAACCGAACTTTCTATCGGTGTACCGGCATAGTAACCCACTTGAGTTGTTGGGAGAACACGACAAAAGTTTGTAAATCACTCGCCCCAGGCTCTTTATTAATAAATTTTTCCCGCGTTCTTTTAACATCCCAGGTGGGTTTTCACGCTGGTAAACCTATAAAAATTGCGGTCTATTGCTTTTACAGTATAACTTAGAACAAAGCTGATGGCTTAACCAGTACAATAAACGGTAGGGTTTTAACCAATCAGGGCGTAGTATTTAAGTTATTCCATAACGCGCAGCAGTTATGAGTGCGGTGTCTGAGTCAATCAAAACGCAGAGAAAATCCCAAGCGACAAATCTTACTGGTATAGAATTAACCAACAAATCGTAGAAAACTTAGCAACAAGACAGGCTGGTGTTTTTGTCCTCTTTGTTTACAACCGTATAGTGTCAGGCTAGTCCCTTAAAAAAACTAACTCTCTATCACAACGCTGATAGATGTATTCTGTACCAGGTCACTTCTCCGACATGTCAGCTCGCCAACACTATTAGTCAACTCGTCAACAGTGACATATTTGGTCAACTCTCATTTTATAGTTTCAATCTTAAAGAGCTCAATCCGAGATTGATATTCAATACTAATTAGTGATATACAGTGCGTAACGTGAATAGCCTATGTACAGATTGTAAAATAAAGAAACGTGTCTTGTGGCTGATTTCTACTGAGAGAATACTGTTATTTTCCTGAGAATTCTGTGCTTGATTTTCGATTCAGGCTTTTCCCTCAGGCTTTTCCCTCGTACTGTGGGAAAAAACCCATTTTACAACAATTTATCTGCATAAAATTTATATGCAGTATATTGTCAGAGTTTGGTATCCAACCCTGCTAGATTATCAATTTTAACCGCTCACGAAATTGATCCTGGATACAGGAGTTTCGTCATGTGAGCGATCTCCGTTTCTCTGGCCAAACGCGTACCACGGATTTCGTCGCCACCCTAGAAAAGAAAAGTTAATGATATTTTATCAGCAGTAAAAGCCTCCACGCAAACTTTAACAACAGTTACCCTCATCTGGGGATGGTTCCAGACAAGTTATGAAGTACAGAGAGCGAGCAAGCAGTAACTCCTCCCCAATCTCCATCAATGGACAGGTTTTTATAGCCAGCGTTCAAAACTGTGAGAAGATTATCACGAAAATAGAGAATTATCGACGAAATATCGTGCCATAGAAACACTTGTCCTGTAAATGTCGAAAGTAACCATTATCGCTTTGTTAATGCTTTACTTCGCTCTGTTATTGGTCCAGAAAACTCGTACCACTCTTTTAACCAATCAGATTCAAAACTAAAACCAATCACGACTTGGTCACCCACATTTTCCCGCGTTTCAGGATGTTTGGTTGTTTTTTTATTTGGACTTGTCGTATGGCTCTGTAAAGTAGAAGCTGTTGTTAAGACAATCGCGATAGAGTACTGAACCATTCAAACAGGTTTTGTCTTGGGCGATATATCGTTTCAACTCAGCGATATACATTATCGTTACGTATCTTGTTTCCTTATGCAGATCTCCAGGAACGTTTCAATTTTCTTTCGTTTATTTTGCGAGAGAGTGGTGGTTTCTTATGCTATCCTTTAAGGCGGAAATTGGCGCACGGCTAGCCAAAATTGATCACCTCGCGCATGCCCGATGTTAAACTGCTGTGTGCCGTGTTCCTTACATGTGACTTACCCTTCTCTCAGACTTCTTTCTCACTTCACGATAGAGCAGGATACCGAACCTCATCCAAATGAATGCAAGGCAAAGGTTGATTGGAACTGACCCCAGATATGTGAGGTAAAATAATTCCTTCTGGTACTCTCCCTTAGTGAAAAAAAAAGTAATTAAAAAAATGAATAAATAAATAAATAGAATAAAAGAATAACAAAAACATATGAATAAATAACTAAGTGGAGGCTGGTCATTATTCATCACCTGGGGGAGGGGGTGGGGTAAGAGTACTTTGGTTCTTCTATGATAAATTGACCTGATCACCTCCTCAAGACTCTGTAATATCCTTACGACCCCCCTTCCCATCCCATTCAAAGAAATCAAAGTGTGATCTAGATACCTATCAAGAAATGGTCAAAAAGTGGTTTTCTTTTGCAAAAAGAAAAATTCAGCTTTATCGGAGCACACATGCCTAACTAACCATACAATTGGGCGGGATAATTCTAAAATTATCACCATTAATCGGCGTTAGCCTCTCTCTACGTGCGTTTTTTGCTCGAGGTATAATGAGCTTAAAACGTAGACCATTGAAATATGTAAGATTTCACCATGAATGACCTCGGTGGTTGTTAAATTTCTTGATATTTTAATTCTGCATCGTCGCTCATGAACTATACATCAGCTTGTGACACGCAAGTGATAGCCACAGGCAAGAAGGCAGTATTTCACCCTACCAGTGGGCGTCCACTACAAATGGGCGGCTTTTATTTCCGATGGAATAAGTACTTCGCTACAGTGACACCCAAATGTAAATAAGAACGTGATGCGCTAAGTGTCCTTGTGATTTTGGGTGGTTCCAATCTACTCCTGTTCGTATAAAAGGAGGGAACGAGTTATCTTCAGGTGAAGAGCTGACGGCAGAGTGAGCTTTAAGGCTAAGAACTACACGATGTTCAAGTTCGTGGTATTCCTCCTTCTTTCCGAAAATGCTCTCTCGTTGGAGTTGGGCGAGACCCCAACTGAAGAAAGAGAAATTCAAGGGGAGCTTCTGAAATTCAAGGCTGACAAAGTAACTGCGACTTCCAGCAAAGTAACTGAAGACCAACAGACTTACGAGAAAGTTAGCAAAGGTAAATTCTGCTAGTAATTCATTAACCTAGTGGTTTACTTACCAAGTTTACCCGCTAATTAGTACTCCTCATACTCAATCGCTAGAGTGAGATTAACAACCGTTTTTCCATTTGAAATTCGTCTTGGCTTAACGGGTAAGGTTAGTTCAAGAGGAAACTTTAAGGATGGTTGAAGAAAGCAAAGCTCTGCTGAATTACCCTCCAAAAGGAAGGGGACATTAAGAAGCAAAGAGCACCGTACCAACGCGCGAAAAGTTAGCGAAACATCAACGTGGCAATAAGTTTTACATGCATGCATGCTATACACACCTAACTGAATACAAAGCCATACTACTTACTTGCCTGTTATGTGCCAAGGAGTTCCTGCTTACGCATGTTTTGTTGGCAAATTTGCAACCTCTTTGGCACATTATGGAATTTTTTATGGCCAGGACAAGTAAAATTAGGTAGTTCTGATGAAGACGACAACAGTCATCGATAGAATGTACGAGGGACCTTTGAGCAAGAAACCACAACAACACAAATAATTTATGCTCCCTTTAAACTGCGCAAACAAGGCTCAGCGGAGGTGCGAAGTAGCGTGTCGCTGTAGCGCCAGAGTCGTATAGCGCGAAGGAGCTTGTCGAAATTAAATGCTTGAACTTGATTAAAAAGTTCTATTCAGACGCTGAGCTTTTGCTGTATGTGCTTTTGTCGAAATTAATTTCTGAATTGAGTTTGACACGGCGGGGGCACGACATCTGAACTGGACAAAACAATTTATTCTCGTAACTTCCCGCGAGAACGCAATCCCGCCAAATACATTAGCAGAATTTATGAGTTTTGTTTTGCTCGGCGGAGGCGCGACATTTGAATCGCTGTCGTGCCAGAGTCGTAGTCTCGTGTAGTACGGCTTGCCAAACGTAATTAAAAGGTATTATTCAGACGCTGTGCTCTGCCGCGCTTTTGTTTTTGAATTGAATTCGACACGGTGGTTGCACGACCTCTGAACTGGGCCAAAAATATTTAAACCTTAATGACCTAATCGAGTGAAAGCACGTTGTAGCAAAAATTGCCAATGATCCTGGGTGCATGTAACCCTTTAACTCCCAAGATCTCATTAGTAATTCTCCTTACTGTCTGCCATACAGTTCTTGTGTTGTTAATTTGGAGAATTTGGTATTGGATCAACTTATAATCCCCCAATTGATATTTTTCCCTATCATTATCACTCGTCTGATTGATATTGTAAGGAGAAATTCTGTCCTGGTCACTCATGGAAGTTAAAGGGTTAATAAAGAAATTTATAAGGTCTCTCCTCTCTAACTGATCAATAAAATCTTGATTGGGTTTGGATTGAATTGCATAGTTTACACACAGAAATCATAGTCTCCACACATTCTACGGACTGTGTTAACCGTCTTTTTTTTTTTTTAATAGATTACAACACCGTAGGAGTACGAGCACGGCGTATGACATATCGAAGTTGTGGTGAAGTATCGTACAATCCCACATCTTCCATTTGCTGCGCTGATCGAGTAATACGAATTTCGGGTTTGACTTCCTCGTGCTGTGGAGCCAAAGCTTACAACACAAGGTATGGCATGTATTGCGGTGATAAAATTGTCAGAAAATCAGGCTCAGCCTGTTGCAGTTCCCAACCCTACGACAAAAGAGTCCGAATGTGCTGCGCCGGTAAAGTAGTCGGTAAATCTGGCTTTACCTCAGCCTGCTGTGGTTCCAAATCCTACAACTCAAGAACACAATTGTGTTGTGATGGTAAAGTAGTTGGTAGATCGGTTCCAGCCTTGGCTTGTTGTGGATCTCAAACCTACGACAAAAGATTCAGAATGTGCTGTGGCAATAAAATAGTCGGTAAATCTGGTTTTACCTCAGCCTGCTGTGGTCTACAGTCATACAACACGCGAAGCCAAATGTGCTGTGCCGGTAAAATAGTCGGTAAATCTGGCTTAACCTCAGCCGCCTGCTGTGGTTCCAAATCCTACGACACAAGAAGACAATTGTGTTGTGATGGTAAAGTAGTTAGTAGATCAGTTCCAGCCCCACTGGCCTGTTGTGGATCTCAAACCTACGACAAAAGATTCCGAATGTGCTGTGGCGGTTAAAATAGTCGGTAAATCTGGTTTTACCTCAGCTTGCTGTGGTTCCAAATCCTACAACTTAAGAACACAATTGTGTTGTGATGGTAAAGTAGTTGGTACATCGGCTCTAGCCCCGCTGGCCTGTTGTGGATCTCAAACCTACAACAAAAGAGTCCGAATGTGCTGTGGCCGTAAAATAGTGGGTAAATCTGGTATTACCTCAGCCTGCTGTGGTCAACACACGAAGCCAAATGTGCTGTGGCGGTAAAATAGTCGGTAAACCAAGTGCAAACTCTGCTTGCTGTGGCTTAAAAACCTTCGACAAAAAATTCAAAATGTGCTGTAGTGGTGAAGTCCAAGCAAAGTCTGGTGTAACCTTTGCTTGCTGTGGTCCTCGCAGCTTTGACAGAAGATTCCACAAATGCTCTCAGGGTCAAGTGCGATCGAGTTGTTAAGTAAGAACGTGATTTCTACTGCTGACTGATGCCGTTATAGCCGTGTATGATTTTCCGCCTTTTAATAATAAATAGAAGTAATGGCGTGCTTTACATCTTTTAAACTTCTAATTTTCAATTTCAAAAACTGATTTCTGGTAAATAAGTTTAAATCAGTACACCTGTTGGAAGTCCTGTGTTTCCCAATTTTCCCTTTTTCTGTTGTTACTTGTTGGAAGCAAGCAATAAATGTGGTTATCAAACAACTCAATAAAAGTGTTAGAAAAATTCGAGAAGCCGAGTATCTCAAATTTTCTCGCCGTAATATTTTACGAAATCGTATTTTCATAATGAATTCTAGTAACAAATATCGTTTCTCAAAGCAACTAATACCGGTTCCTTAGTGTTGCACAGCCTTAACTGGTTCACCTAACCCAGCCGAGACCAAACTGACACATCCAAGCTTGGAATTCAACAAAAAGAGGGAGCTGTGATAATTAAAAGATTTAGTTTTTTTTAACCTGGCTGGGGTCTCGCCCAAATTTATCGAGAAAGCGCTATGGCAAAGAAGCAAGAAAACCTCGACCTTGAACATAATTCAGTTTCTAGCTTTAAGTAAAACTCTCTCTGCCGTCAGTTCTATAGCTCATACTTCCGAAACGTGCTCAAAATTACTTCACTTAACAGGAACTGGTTGAACGGGTATCGAATCAAACCGATGTAAGTTCATTTTCCGTTCCTGTGAAACAAAGCCGTGACATGTTGATCACGTCCCGAAATAAATCAGACGTGTTTCTCTCGAATGTTGTTTTAGAAAACTAAAATGACCTTCCTAGTTGACTCTTTTACTCCCAAACATCAGTATCTGTATTCTCCAAACTCTTTTCTATACATTGCCTTAGGTGCTGACAAGAAGAACTTATTTAACAATCACCAGCGTCTTAAGTTGGTGATCATTTCCTTTATTCTTTTGACCCATCTATAAGTAAAGGCTTTAAACGCAGTAGTTAAATCGACAGAAAATAAAGCAATAATTAGTCGTTTCGGTGCCATTATGAAACAATGAATACTTGATATACCTAAAGGTGCAATCAAACTACAGCTACTTAAGAGCGGAACCGGAAACTAACAAAATAGCCTCCATTTTACCCGAAAGTACGCTCCTACATTTGTCCTTGGACATTATCTGTTCCTCAAAGCTCTTAGTTTTCCTCGAGCTTCGCTCTCGGGCTGCAATGCCTTGCGTTTGTGTTCGTTAAATCACCGTACATCTTATTTCGAGAGCGCTCCGGAAATTACAGCATGATCAAAGTGGAAAAAAGATCTGTAGACAGACCAGTTGGTCATGTGTTCGGTGCACTTAACGGGTTGATGTGTGGCAACGTTTGATTCTCATTGTGCCCTTATTTTTTTAAAAAAGACATTGATAAAAGTCGTGGAGCATCCGAGCGACAACAGGTGTGTACTAATCCATTTTTAGCTTTTCAATCGATCGTATTTGGACCAATTTATATCACAAACACGTTCGTGTTTCTGGTTTGGAGAGCTCTCTTCTTCTAAGGTATTAAATATAGAAATTTAATTTCGTTCTAGGAGATTTATTTACTGAAGTACATGATTGTTTATCTGTTTTGGCCACACACCTTCTCTTAGTTTCCATAGTTTGAAAAGCAAAATTACCAAAGAAGGAGAGAGTTTTCCGAACTATAAAGAACTGTTTCTGGTTTGGAAAGCTCTCTTCTTCTAGGGCAATTAAATACAGGAATTTAATTCCGTTCAAGGAGATTTATCTACTGAAGTACATAACTGTTTATCTGTTTTAGCCACACACCTTGTCTAATTTTCTTTCGTTGAGAAGCAATAATTACCAAAGAAGAAGAGAGATTTCCGAACCACAAAAATGGTTCTGGATTGAAAAGCTCTCATATTTTGTCTTAGTTTCTTTCGTTGAGAAGCAATAATTACCAAAGAAGGAGAAAGCATTCCGAACAACAAAAAAACGTTTCTGGTTTGGAAAGCTCTCTTCTTCTAAGGTAATTAAATTTAGAAATTTAATTTCCTTCTAGAAGATTCATTTACTAAAGTTCATGATTGTTTATCTGTTTTAGCCACACACCTTGTCTTAGTTACTTTCGTTGAGAAGCAATAATTACCAAAGAAGAAGAGAGATTTCCGAACCACAAAAATGGTTTCGGATTGGAAAGATCTCTTCTTCTAAGGTATTTAAATAAAGAAATTTAATTCAGTTCTAGATGATTCATTTACTGAAATACATGAAGGTCGCTGATGAAGATCATATTTCCACCAATCTTGCACCACTGCCACGAATGCTTGACACGTTGTTTTATCCAATGACTGCCTTCTCTAAAAACATCCATTTCTGTGTCTTTCACGAAAATTTAACCCACGAACTCCCAGAAGTTATTAACAAATATCGCTACATGTATGACATTAAATAATGTAAATTGAACATAATTGTTCATCTGTTTAGCCTCACACTCTGCCTTAGTTTCTTTCGTTGAGAAGCGATAATTACCAAAGAAGGAGAAAGCATTCCGAACAACAAAAAAACGTTTCTGGTTTGGAAAGCTCTCTTCTTCTAAGGTAATTAAATTTAGAAATTTAATTTCCTTCTAGAAGATTTATTTACTAAAGTTCATGATTGTTCATCTGTTTTAGCCACACACCTTGTCTTAGTTTCTTTCGTTGAGAAGCAATAATCACCAAAGAAGAAGACAGATTTCCAAACTACAAAAATGGTTCCGGATTGGAAAGCTCTCTTCTTCTAAGGTAATTAAATATAGAAATTTAAGTACATTCTAGTTGATTCATTTACTGAAATACATGAAGGTCGCTGATAAAGATCAAATTTTCCGCAATCTTGCACCACTGCCACAAACGCTTGACGCATTGTTTTCTTCAATGACTGCTTTCTCTAAAAACCTCCATTTCTGTTTCTTCCACTAAAATTTAACCCATGAACTCCCAGAAGTCATCGACAAGTATCGTAATGTCATGTATGACATTAAATAATGTGAATTGTACATAATTGTTCATCTGTTTTAGCCACACACCTTGTTTTAGTTTCTTTCGTTGAGAAGCAATAATTACCAAAGAAGGAGAAAGCATTCCGAACCAAAAAAAATGTTTCTGGTTTGGAAAAGCTCTCTTCTTCAAAGATAATTATTCCGAACCAAAAAAAATGTTTCTGGTTTGGAAAAGTTCTCTTCTTCAAAGATAATTAAATTTAGAAATTTAATTTTGTTCTGAGAGATTTATTTTCTGAAGTACATGATTGTTCATCTGTTTTAGCCACACACCTTGTCTAATTTTATTTCGTTGAGAAGCAATAATTACCAAAGAAGGAGAGAGTTTTCAGAACTAGGAAGAAATGTTTCTGGTTTGGAAAGCTCTCTTCTTCTAAGGTAATTAAACATTGGAATTTAATTCCGTTTTTGGAAATGTATTTACTGAATTACATAATTGTTCATCTTTTAGTCACACACCTTGTCTTAGTTTCTTTTATTGACAAGCGATAATTACCAAAGAAGAAGAGAGATTTCCGAACCACAAAAATGGTTCTGGATTGGAAAGCTCTCTTCCTCTAAGGTAATTAAATTTAGAAATTTAATTCCGTTCCAGTTGATTCATTTACTGAAATACACGAAGGTCGTTGATGATCATATTTTCACCAATCTTGTACCACTGCCACGAATGCTTGACGCGTTGTTTTATCCAATGACTGCCTTCTCTAAAAACATTCATTTCTGTTTCTTTCACTAAAATTTAACCCATGAACTCCCAGAAGTGATTAACAAGTATTGCTACATGTATGACATTAAATATTGTGAACTGAACATAATTGTTCGTCTGTTTTAGCCATACACCTTGTCTTAGTTGCTTTCGTCGAGAAGCAATAATTACCAGAGAAAGAGAAAGCATGCCGAACCAAAAAAGAATGTTTCTGGTTCAGAAAGCTCTCTACTTCTAAGGTGATTAAATATAGGAATTTAATTCTGTTCAAGGAGATTTATTTACTTAAGTACATGATTGTTCGTCTGTTTTAGCCACACACCTTGTATAATTTTCTTTCGTTAAGAAGCAATAATTACCAAAGAAGGAGAAAGCATTCCGAACCAAAAAAAAAAAATGTTTTTGGTTTGGAAAACTCTCTTCAGCTAAGCTAATTAAATTTAGAAATTTGACTCCATTCTAGATTTATTTACTGAAATACACGAAGGTCGCTGATGAAGATCATATTTCCACCAATCTTGCTCTACGGCCAAGAATGCTCAATGCGTTGTTTTATCCAATGATTGCCTTCTTTAAAAACATCAATTTGTTTCTTTTACTAAAAAATTTAACCCATGAACTCCCAGAAGTGATTAATAAGTGACTTTACCCCCACAATATCCTCAGATTATTCAGCCATCAGTTAATGAGAATCAAACTTACTCTGGCATCAAATTCTCGTAACTAAAATATAAGGAAATGTGCAACGGCCAGAGGGGAGAATTTACAATCAGATCTTGGGTTTAAGAGGGTTGGGTCGGAAAATCTCTCAGCGCAACAACCTCCGCAAAACACTGC